CAGCTTCGAGCACCAGATCACGGAAATCACTGTGCGCTTTGTGTCAAACTGAGGGCGGTCGGGATAAATGAAAGTACCCGGTGATACCAAATTCGCATTAAGGCCTGCCATGCTATGAAACACTTATTCACAAATTGCTAAAGCAGAAGTTACCAGCCCTTGTCCTGAAAAGGCTTAATCAAGCAGCTCATATTAGTTACCCTGTAGCAGCTCATAAACTCAAGGAACCAATGTGTTTTGGATCAATTTGCTTATAATTCACCAAGTGTACTATGAATATTTTAAGGCCAGTAGCCCAGTTGTTAGAATTGCTGCCTCGCAGCGCTGGGGCCAGGTGTTCAACTCCTGGGGTGCTGTCTGCACGGAGTTTGGATTTCCTCCCCCTGTTTGGGTTTCCCCCAGGGCTCCGGTTTCCTCCCACAGTCCAAAAACATGCTCGTAGGTTAACCGGCTCCTGGGGAAACCGGCCCTGCTGCGAGTGTGTGCGTGCCTGTGTCCGAGCGCGTGTGCTTTGCGACGGACTGGCGTCCTGTCTGGGGTGTTTCCTGCCCCCAGACTCCGGCTCCGGCTTCTCCGGGACCCCTAGCTGGATGGACCGAAGGCGGCCGGTGAAACCCGCCGGCTGGGTACCTCCGCGAGGGGGATGAGCAAGGTGCAGCTGCCCTCCTCCCGGCCGGAGAAGCAGACGTAGCTGTCGGATGCGTGGAGCGTGCCGGCGGTGTGGCGGCGGCTGTAGGGCGTCCAGACGGAGCACTCCGCCGCCTCGTGCAGCCTCTCCCGCCGCGGCAGCCGGAACAGCGCCAGGAAGTACTCCTTCTGGGCGTGCTCCTCCAGGACCCTGCTCCAACACACACGCGCGGGGACAGCCGCTCTTTAACACGGAGCGGTTTCACGCGACAAGAGCACAGCTGTCAAGACTCCCTGTAAACTGATCCCAAGACATCCTTCAGCTCCCGAACACTGTTAACGAACAGATTCAGCTCACTTTCCCGGCTATACGGGATTAAGTTATACCAGTTCAGTTTCTTGGTAAGACAAGAGGCTAAGATGTTTCTATCCGCTACTCATCTCCAGGGATTTTCTCTCAAGGAGATTACGGACCCGCTCGTGTTGTCTGGAACAGGTTGGGCCCCCTGTGATCCCTGCGGGTTGTGCCCATTCGTGCAGGGGCCCAGTCCCGGGAAGCTCGTCTCTACGCTGCGCGAGGCGTGCGGGCTGACCTCTTGGTGATGTGAGCGGGCTGCTGCAGGGCCTGGTCCAGCTCGAAGACCTCGTTGTCCAGCAGCCTGCGCAGGGTGATGTCAGCCAGCTGCACCATCATCTGGAAGGCCTCCTCAAGGTTCAGGAACATGGAGAAGTCTCTCTGGCGGCTCCTCGTCGTCACCCGGACAGTGTCCGTCATGAAACTGCTAGTGGCTCTCTCTAGTTTAGTCACGTCTGCCCAGGGGATGACCATCTTCACTGCATCGGGGGAGGACACAGACGAATGCATGCATTATATAGTGAAAAAACAAAAATGACCACATATCTTGGCAGC